ATATGGTTATAACAACCACAGTTTTGACACATAGGTTTGTCATTCTTATGTTTGGAAATGTTCTTACCCTTGTTGGAAACACGAGTTTGGGATTTCTTATTGCGTCTGCGTTGTTTTTTTACCTTTCTTGGAATTTCCCTAAGGATGGGTCTTAGAAAGTCCACTATCAAATTTGGGTTTATTCTGAGTGTAGGCATGTACTTCAGGCAATGGAGCAGACCCTACGGGGCACTGCTGATTATTCCAAACCATAAGTTCAGAATGTTTTTCGGCCTCAAGTAAAGTTTGTATAAGCTCAGAATAAACCTAGAAACGTCTTTCACGGTATTGTTGTTGAAGAATCCTTTCAGAGGGAAGCATAGTAGACAAAGTCTTTTCTATTTTATCCTCATCTGTAGGTTCTTTCTCGTAGAATTACAACTTTGAGCAAATCCTATGAACAACATGGTTGTAATCACTCACAGTTTTGAAATCCTGTAAGCGAAGTTGTGTCCACTCGTAGTTGGTCGCGGGCAGGACAAGTGCCTTTTGTTGTTCATAGCGTTGCTTAAGAGAGTTCCATAGATTTTGTGGATTTTCTTCCAACAAATATTCAGCCTTAAGGTCAGGATGAATATGGCTCCTAATGAGATATAGGGCCGTGTATACATGTTGATCATCAAGAGGTGCAACACCCTCTTCGGGTGGTAACACAGCTTGATAAAGTCCACGGGACGCAAGACTAACCTTTACGTCCATAGTCCATGTGGGATAATTGTGGCCGTCTAGAGCAAGCAAATCAAACTCTTTGACGGTCGTTGATCCTACACGAGGCAAACCATCAAAACATTTTATTAAAATGTTGTGGTGTGTTATAATTATAGGATGCAAAATAGAGACTAGATAAATCTTGTATTATTAATGTTGTAAAGATCTTATGTGCATAATGAAATAATGGAGGTAGTCACCATAAAAGTGTAGACCTCAAATTGGGCATAGTCTGTATTAACAGTAGATGCCAAGTAATTATGCAAGTTGTATAAACACGTCTTAAGATAGTCATCAAGAATGATGTAGACCTTAGTCAATTCGTAAACAAATTGGGTACGCACGTTGAGGATAGTCACTAAGTTGTGGACTTAGTGTAGATCCCACAGTAGCAACTATGGTGCTACCTTGTGTATGGCCAATAGAAATGCGAATTAATGGTAGTCATCTTTATGAAAAAATGTAGACCAAATATTCTAATTTGTGATGTTGGGTACGCATGTTGAGGATAGTCACTAAGTGTTTACTTAGTATAGATCCCGCAGTAGCAACAGTGGTGCTACCTTGTGTATGGCCAACAAACAAATAGGGAACATGCGCGTTATACAATTGATGAGAAAATATGCATAAAATGTCGCATCCATTATTTAAGCGTGTAATGCTTTAAAGTCGAAAAGCATAAAAGGGTCTTAAATAAAATGATCAATTGCAAAAGTGATAAATGAATAAATAATTTGCAAGATCATGGTCGTAATAACAAGGATATTATTTATTGGATTTGCCATACATACAGGGACAAATACTTTGAATAATATCATAAATAGATATTTTACAATGATAAAATATCACAAGTACAGCTATAGTTAAAGTCAACGACTAAACACAAGAGTACTTAATTTTACAGCACATAATTATAAGAGACTAACAGAGTCTTATACGAATTAATGCTGAAAATATTAAATTGACGAAAACAGTAAATAGCTTGATTTGCCAAACTTGAATCCATCGGCATCCTGGATTGTGGCCCATGCAGGTCCAGTCAGCATGCACAGGGGAGAGGAGGGAGGACAGGGCACCGGCCTTGGGCCGGCCCATTGTCGCGCGCGCAGCCCATAAAGGGGGGTCCGGTGGCAGTTAGGGTTTCAGCCCCTAACTGCTCGCCGCCGCTGGTTGTCTCCTCACCACCATGCTCCACTGTGCTGCCACTGCTCGCCATCTTCAGTTGGAAGAGGACTCCCCCTCGTCGGGGGAATAGAAGCCGCCACCGTTGACCGCCATGTTTAGGACCTCCGCGCTTGGGAGGCCGGTCGATTGCCGCCACCCTGCGGCCGAGGAGACGTCGGAGCGTTGGGGGCGTGGTGGCGCTGCCCTCAGCAGAAGTTGGAGGAGCCGACAGGAGAGCCTTCTCCTTCATGCGGGCCGCAGCCTCCACGCGTGTCGTGGGCGGAGGAGGAGCCGTTGGCGGGGTCGCCGCCGGAGGAGCCGAGGGGCCCGCGTGCGCCGGAGGCGGAGCCGAGGGTCCGGCCCTGTCGAGGAAGAAGTACGGCGAGACGCCAGACCTCGCCGCGCTGTTAAAGATGTCGCCGATGCCGAGGCCGGTCACCACATCCTCCTCTTCCTCAACCTTCACGGCGTCGAGCGCGGGAGCAGCCCACGTGTTCAGAAACCACGGATCGAGCGGGGGACGCCGTTGCCTATCGCCACTGGAGTCGGAGAGGCTGGTGTGGGCGTCAGCAGCGAGTATGCGTACTCGAGCGTGTGCGGGATCGAGGTGAACTCCTTACAGAAGTCGCACCAGAAGCGAAGCGGTACCAGTGCCGGCGACATCGGCTCCATGGGGACTTAGGCGGGCGCGGCCACCATTGCTTCAACGGGCGGCGCCGGGGCTTCGACGACTAGTGGCGCCGGGGCTTCAACCGCTAGAGGCGTAGCGTTGCTGGGGCCGGCACCGTCCAAGCCAAGGCGAGGAGATGGTGGCTGGCTCTGCAGACGAAGATCGCGCGGAGGAGAAGCATGGCGGCCACGAACAGGAGTCCATCGGCGGCGAGGAACTGCATTGGAACGGAAGCCACGAACAACGGAGTTGAAGAGGCGGCCGAAAGGACCATGGCCATGACCATGGGCAACGTTGCGGCGAACGCGAGGCCCAAGGCACTCGAAAACGCTTCGGCGCTGTCCATGGTGGCCGTGGTGTCGGATTGGGCCACGGCGAACTCCACCGACGCGACGAAGGGCAAAGAGCAAGCCACGAACAAGATGTGATGGTAAGTTGATCTTTGCCATGCTTACCGATGGTGGTGCAAAGGCACGTATATGCCTCTGCTGTCGTTCTCCTGTTCCTGAAGAGCGAAAGATGCTGATAACGTGTTAAAAATGAATGAAATGAACAATGATTTGGGAACAACTAACTGTTTCATTGATCTCTTTGGATTATATACAAATGAAGGGTCACGTCGTACGGACGTGACTGTTCGGGAAAGGTAACTGTTCACTAGAACAGTCCACTACCGAAGGGACATGCCCCTTCGTAGTGCTACAGTTAACTACTAATCTAATCTCTAATCCTAACTGCTTGTACGGACGGATGAGATCATCTGTAGAAGGACGCCTGTTGCTATACTGGCGTCATTTCACAACTGATATGACCTTGGCATACTTGTTCGCTACTTGATGCAGAAAGATCCCATTATCTTTAGATCTATACCATTTGCTGCAAAACAACAGTAATTTGATAATTGTGACAGGTGTCGGGAGATGGAGTGGCAAGCGAAATGGATGGAGAAGCTGAGCGAGCCATTGGCATGTGATTCCTGGTTCTGACCGCACTAGTGTAACCTGTAAAATCTAATCCCAGTTGTATCCATGTAAGTAGTAGCCTTGTAAATGAAACAATATGTGCAGCGTCCATTGTTCTTTTGAGCCCCGGCACACGTTGCCCTGCCGCGCTCACGCCTTGCATGATTTGCAGCAGGATTTGGAAGAGTGTAGTCGAGCAGGTTCGTGTAGATACCGTCACTTATAAAAGATGCAGTGCCATGAGTTGTAATAGCTGCTGGATCTATGTTAAAACTTGAAACAAAGAAATGGAAGAGGTGGAAGAGGGCATGGAGTTGCAAAATTGTGGTCTAATTTCTTTTTGAAACTGTATTTCATAACGTTGTCCTGGCGTTGCTTGAACAGAGGATTTTAGTTACTTCAAGATATCTAAATGTAGTTTCTTAAAACTTATATATTAACTCTGTACTGTTGTGTTAAAAGAAACTAGTGTTTGCACTAAGGGTTTAGAAATGAGTTGTTAGTAATGAAAATGTAAACTGAACAAAGGATTGGAAGAACTAAAAACTTGTCATTTTTTTTGGAATAACTAAACATTCTCATTGATCTTATACAAGTGACTAGTTGTCTTGGACAGGCATCTATTCGCAAGACACCCTCTCCGAATAGGTGGCAACCGTTCAGAACTGCATGCTCAAAGGGCATGCCCCTTTGGTGACAAAATATTCGTCCAATCCTAAACGCAATCTTTGAATCAATGGATGAGATCATCTCTAGGAAAAGACGTCAATTAGAGAGGCATCGTTTCATAACATGTCACCTTGATCAAATCTTCTATGAGATCAATGTAGCTTGCAAAATCATGTGGTATAAAACTCATTTGAATCTTATAGGAAAATAAAAAGAAAATAATCATGACATATAAAAGGTGTGATATGAAAATCACTCTGGACCTTTGCAAGATGTATGATCGGGTGGACTAACAATTCCCTGAAAATGTTTTACCATCTACATGGGGTGCATCCCCCCATCTACGTTCTACTGCACTCTTCCAAGTTGACGGATAATGGAGGACCGATTTCCGTCCATCAAGAAAGGCTCTGGAAAAAGAATGGAAGAATACACCTACAGTACCTGCTGACGTCTAGCAATCACCTTGAATCCAGGAATTAACAAATCAGACCAAATCAAATAGTAAAGATCACAATAACTTGCAAGTAACAAAGACACCATGATTTTAAACTGAGTTCCAACAATCCATTCAGATGCATGCACATGTACATATGAACATTACAAACTGAAACAAACAAATACTACAACACTGAGATCCATTGCCTTAATTAGATATACTACAAAAAGATCAGATCAGAACACTCCTAGAGTAGCTGATAGTGCTACCCAGCCAGGGTCTAGCCGGAAAACGTTTGTACCATCTACTCGTATTAGCAGCAGCAGAGCAGCGTGTTTGTACAGGTCAGTCAATGCATGGCAATCAGCATGGACAGGGGAGGCAAGAAATAGCGGCTGGCTTCAGAAGCATCCAGGGGGTTCGGCACCGAAGCAAAGCCGGCGGCCGGGATGCGAACGCTCCGAATACAGTGGAGGACGGCCTGGAAGTCGCTGTCCTCGTAGTCATAGTGATAGCTGTGTCGCCGAGACCGCGCAAGAAACTGCTGAGGCGGCATTGGCAGGTCCACAGCAGCGGGGGTGCGAGGGCTCACGGCGGCGTGTATGTCCCGAAGCAACGCGTCGAAGTCGGCGTCATCGTCCACGCCGTAGTCGCACCAGCGCAGGGCGGCAGGAACGACCTCCGCCTGCGTGGCCATCGTCGTCCTCTTCATCATCATGTCTGCGCCGGCGAGGGTGGGAAGGACGGAAGGAGCTACGGTGCACGTACGTGGTGGAGATCGCCGCACAGCACAGGAAGCTGAGAAGAGAGAACGAAGGGCAAGACGAGGCGACAACGGGAAGGTCGGTGGCCTGCCCCCACTGTTTATCGTAACGATGCACAAGATCATAGCTCGGGGGCTGCTTCCATCCCAATATCCCATGCATGTCCGAAGTCGAAATGGTAACAGCAACCATACGTACGTACGATGCACGCGAATTTGCGGTGGTGTCGTTAACGATACGGCTTAGCGAATCGAGATGGTTGCCTCCGCTGGATTTCGGTGTTTTCATCCACCCAAAAGTAGGAGAGATTGCTCCCTCGGAGACGCATGTGAAGCTGACCGGCGGGCGAGAAGAAGGCACATGCATGCAGTTTCGGGCAACGCAGAGGAAGAGGAAGGAGAGGCGAAAAATTCAGTCAGCATTTCAGCAAGGATGGAGGGGCGGCAGAGGTGCAGACTTGCCCAAAGTGACCCGACCAAATAAATGGGATCACCAGGAGAATTCGAAGCCTACCCAAAGACTGACTAAATGGGATCTAGAACAAATGAAGAAGCAAAAAAGCTGAAGAGATAAGGAGAACTCTATTCAATTTTGCGAAGCATGAAGTGAGCTTGAAGAGACAGCCGTGGCGTTGGAGGAAGCCTTGAGCCGTATCCCGAGAGAGGTGGAATTGGGGAAGAAGATGGTGCCCGCGGCACAGAGTGGGAACGGAAATGGACCAACCCAGCCAGCGGAGAAACCGGACCCAAACTTTGGGAGAAACGATCATTCATTTTGTTTCTGATTAGGTTGAAACCATTTCCTGTCCCAGTGCAAATTGCTAACTAAAACCTCTAGGGCACGCTGGCCCCGGCCGGCTCTAACGCCTATAAAATATTGGCAAATTAATATTTGCAGCAAGATTTTGAGGAGTATAGTATAGCCGAGCAGGTTCGGAATCTATTATGCACGTGTTTGCTATTCATAGACTATGTAGTCAGTATATAAAACATAGGGATGCATGTTATGTTGGATTGCGCAAATCCAATATAGAGTCAGTCATTCGCTTGGAGCGAACGACAGATGGCTCCTCTTTTTCTTTTTTCATGTGTGTGGAGAGCTCTGTTTCTATATGGTCACATGCTTTTCGTTCTGAGACTTTTGAATTTTGTTTCGAACCTCCATTATTAGTCACGGATGCATGCTCTTACTTCAACGTCATTGCAAAAGTTTTCAAGTGTCAAATTCTACGTTTTATTTGTTCAACACATTGTACTTTATCCAAGTAGTAATAATATCAGTATATTTCCAATTTAGCCCAACTTTGTCCCATATCTCCAACTTAACCTTTAACAAAGGATAATTTAGCCAAAAGAAATTGGAAGGGTAGCCAAAAGTGTTGTTTCTGTAATTGCAATGAAACAATTAAGCATTTGTTTTTTTGCTTGTCAACATGTTAAGACAATCTGGAACATAATTCATATAGCTATCGGGTTATACCCACCTAGATCCATATCTCATATGCTGGGGAATTGGCTAACGGGCATAGCAAGAGAAGGAGAGAAAAAATATTTTCGTGGAGGTATGACTCTTATTTGGGCAATTTGGTGTTCACGTAATGATATTGTTTTTGAGAAAAAATAATATACTTCCTTTTTGCATGCTACCTTTAGGGAACGTATTGGCTGCGGGTTGGAGCGTTCCTGTAGCATGAGGACGCTAGGAAGATGATCCGGGCGAGCAAATTTTTGGAGGTGGTCGCTCTGGATATCTTCGCAAAAAGTAGATGGAAAAGCAACAATAGACTTTGCTTATAATTTTCATTCTAAAGTGTGATCTTTCTCTTTATTTGTTAATCAACATTTATGCTGAAAATCTTGTAAGAGATACATAGAATGTGGAGAAGATCTAATCGTCTCTTCATGGCAGTCCTGTTGTTTAGACATTAATATATGAAGACCAATCTGAAGACATTTTTTTCAACATCTTTTAACTCTTTAGAATGTTTGATTATTTCTTCCCAATTGATCCATTTATTGCTGCAAAAGCAATCTCTTCATAAACACTGGTGTATAGGTCCTCTTGCTCGTAGGGGCGAAGCTACATATGTACCTGTGGGTGCATATGCCCCCCTCTCAAAATACAGATTTAGTGATAAAGTCTAAAATTTGACCATATATGCACCATCTATGGTTGAAGTCCATTCAACTCTTCGAGAGCCTTAATTTTAACGTCTTCATCCTCAATTATAATGTCTGCTTCCTGTACTGCAGTCTCTGTTGTTTTCTTGATTGTAACGTCAACAGCCGCCTCTATTGCTTCCTCAATTGTAACGTGAGCACGAGCACTAAAACAACAAAGACGGTTCTTCGTGTATTGGACTAAACCATGCCATACGGAATTACTTTTCATGAGAGTTTCTTCATGTCCAAGGATCCAAAGGCAGTTCCTACAGGGGAGGCATTTAAATGAGATGAAAACGGAACAAAGGTTAACAACTTAACATGCTTTGCTCTCGTCAAGGCCACATTAGCTCTTTTATGGCAATCCGAAAGCCTATGTTCCCATCAGGGGCAAAGCTACCTAGATCATAATGGGTGCACATGCACCCATGGCTCAATTTTTTTTAGAGCTAACTGTCACAAATTTCTGGCAATGCACCCCCTCTCGGTTGAAACACATGCACCTCCCAAGCTCAATAACAGCTGGCTGACAAGCAGAGAACAGCATGCAGGTAGCCAGTACAGGGTGTGATTAAAGCCTTCACCCAATCGCCATCGTATCATCTCGGGATAACCTTTAGATAATGGATCTACTGTGGACTCCGCTGCTCATCGCATCATCGCATGCTATCCTTATCTGCATTTTTTTTCGAATCATTTTATTTGTTAATTTAGTTATAATAATCAATGCTTTGACTTACTTAGTTTGAACTTATCATTGTTTACACGCATTTGATTTTGAAAAGTGTTGCATTTTAATACTGTTTTTTTAACTATAACATTCAAACTTGGCCTAAATTATTTGGTCCCTTTTTACTAGGTTGAACTTTTCTTTCACTCCATCATCAGAATAGTATAATATTATAAGTGTTTCTTTTTTCTTATAAACTCTCGCATCATTTTCATTGTGCGTGGCTACAAGATAATAGCTTGCATTTAAACTATATACATGCTTGTTAAGAAAACATTGTATGAAATTATATGCATAACTATATTTCCTCGGTCCCAAAAAAAATTGCTATGGGATTCGTGCTGACCAAACTTTCTTAAATTCGACTAAGTTTATAGAAATATTAGCAACATTTATATCTCCAAATAAGTTTATTACAAAAATATATTTAGCGATTCATTTAATGATACTAATTATGCATCATAATTTTTTTATTATATATTTTGTCAAAGTTAAAATATTAGATTTATTAGGAAGTAAGAATGATACTCTTTGTAGAACCGAGGGAATATATACTTATGGCAAAGCAGCACACACACACTCCTCAATTTTGTTCTAACTTCGCCATGGAGTAGTAATAATATATGTGTAATTTTCAAATATGTTTTTTTTTCATATGTCCAATTTAGCCCAACTTTGTCCCATATCTCCAACCTAGCATGGATGTTATCCTAATAAATGATCAACGGTAAATAATCAGTCACTTGTCGCTTAGCCATTATTCAGGCTAACACAACCACTTAAACATGCAAAATGACTGTTTAAGTAGGATAAATGAACGATTAAACATAAACGACTACCACTTTAGGTCGTTTAAATAGTGTGTAACTAGGCTAAACAACCACTTTATACAAATAATGTCTTCCCTTTCTTTTTTTTATATTAACCTACCTATTTTTCTTCTATAGTAGTTTGCCCTGATCAAATTATGTAAAAAATCGTGTTGAATAAGTTATTTATAAATATTTTCTAACGACATTGAACAACAAAAACTTATAGGTATAAGTTATGTTGTTCATAAATTTATTATATAAAAGTTGCGCAAGAAATTCTATGTTGAGAAATTATTATGAAAAGTTTGCCCGTTGATAATTATGAACAGAATTTGGATTTCAAATGGCATATAGAAAAGTTGTTATGATAAGTTGTATGTAAATTAATGTCAAAAAAATACATTGAAAATTTATGAATAGAAGTTGTGGTTATAAGTTATGCCCTACAAAATATTATATACAAAAGTTGTGAATATAACTTTGTAACTTTTCAATAGAAAGTTGCGGAAATATATTTTTTTTCTAGAAAAGAAAGTCATGGGGTTGTTTCATCATTCACTGGATTAGAATCCCATGCCCAAAACTTAAAAAACAGTGTAATTACCCTAGTCATAAAACGTGTTTATGCAGGTTTTGCTGGGCAATAGAGTGAATCTTCATAAAGTTTACTTACTGATTGTACATAATTAAGATTTTTAATAATATAGGGTCCGTTCAACTCTGTACAATAGAGTGTGCACTTGCCAAACAGATAAAATGAAACAAAAGAATCTATTGATGTCGCTATGTTGTTCATGTCGTAGACAATACGCTTGAGCTGATTACTATGATAACCAACACATAGTAATAGTATAATGCCGTAGACAAAAGCTTGCGCTGATTACTATGATAACCAACACATAGTAATAGTATAATGCTCCAACTTGTACTGAATATTTTAGAAAATACACGGTCAAAACAGTGATGGAATACGTAAGGCACACATGCTTAAAGCAGAAAACTAAAATAAGGGGGAAATGCATGGAAGCGCAGAGACGACATAGCCGCCGTCAGTAACAACTCGGTACAAACTTTTTGTAATCCCTTTTCAGTTTCTCCTGCTCCAGTAACAATAAGCAGAATAGCAACTGCAGATGGTAACAAAGCCTGAAAACCATCAGCTACATTCAGAAGCGCATAGGTACCTATGTTCAAATGACAGATGCAAAATGCAATTATGATGTTCAGTTCTTCACCAGATTACAAGCAGGCATGCCCAATACGCATCAAAAGTATTTTGAACACATAACGCTGGTCCAACTCAAGAAACTGTTCGAGTCACATCGACCTTGCTAACTGAAACTAAGAAAACAGCAATCTCCAGGGCCTGTGCAAGGCTAGCCCAAACCCTGCAGGCCAACATGGTCACTGGCTAGCGCCATAAACCAGACTGGGGAACAACCAGAGGCTGCCTATTTGACTGTAGTCCGGTGAGAAATCAATACCATACATCATGGAGTCAACTATGTGGCCGTGCGGCACTGACTGACCAACCTCCAGCGCCGTCCAAGCCTCTTCAGGATCAGCATCATCAAATAGCCTGGCAACGTAAACGCAGTTACTCTTCCCTCCCCATCTCTCGGGGTTAACCCAAGAAAATGCAGGGTTCCTCCTATCCAGGCTAAGAAACAGCGCATGGTTTTCCAGCTTCTCCATCTGTACCAACTTGGCTGGCTTCACTGAGAAGTCAAGGCGAAAGACCTCAAAAAATCTAATGTGGCTGCTAAGTGAGGGAAGAGAACTACGATTAATTGCGAGCTTAACCATGAGAAGCATGTCACCACAGACCACCAACCATGGGGTAAGAGGCAGGCACTGCAGGGACCTCCACGTAACTGCTACTTCTTTCATGCTGAATTGAGGTGTCAATTGGATAGTATGAAGCCTCATAAGAGCATCTATGACAAGGATATGACCTTGAAGAACACAACCTGATAGATGCGTTCATGGTCAAGATGAAGAGGATGCTCTGACCAGGCGTTTGTTCCAACCTGCCACTCAAACATGGAGGCCCTAGAGAAAAGGAGGAGGCGCGAGTTGGGTGAACTGAATGGGGCCGTAAGGACGCCAATGCCAGAAGAGTAACCAAGATTGTTGTTGCATGGTAATTCGGGTGCTTTCACCTTGGCACCAGTGTATGCATCAACGAGGAGGCAGTGCTCCTCACATGTAAAGATAAGATACCCATGTGAGCAGCCCAGATAGTGCATTTCATTTGGAGTGTTTTGAGGCGCTGAACATTTAAGGGATAGGTTTTTCTTGGTAAGGTCACTGAGCTGCCATTTGCAATTAGACAAACAGAGGGGTTTGATACCTCTAATATATGGAGGGACATAAGGATCATCTGGTTCAAGGTGGAGAGGTGGGAAGTTGAAAGCATACACAGAGGGGAAGGAAGAGACTGCTGCACGCCAAGAGTGGCAGGTGCCACTAAAAGCAAGGAAGTCCTGGAATGAGTTGATGAGAACAATGATTTCATGAAGCAGGCTGTCCACGAGATCTGCATAAACATAAGGTCCAGATAAAGTCGATGAAGTAGAGCCTGAGGTGTGGCAGGTGTTCTTAGAGGGCTTCTCCACAATGGTAACTTCTCTGTCACATAGAAATTCAATAACAGTGGATCAGAATAAAGAACCGAAACATAATAGAGTTATACTGTTAGAAACTGTAGGAAATGCAGTAGGATGTAACTGAACAATAAGGCATGGTGGTCTATCTTGACATGCTAAACTTCAATCCGGACAAGCTATGTCAGAACCACCAATAGTTTGTTTGTTTTTAACAATAGCATAACTTGTTTGGATGCACTCCAATCCACTCTAATCCACATGGGTTCTGAGGGATTGGAGTGGAAACTTAAACTAATTTTCCACCCCAATCCTTCCCAACCCATGTGAATTGGGGTGGATTGAAGTGCATCCAAACAGGGGGTGGAGACCCAAATTAAAGGAGGCCAGTGCACTAACTGCCCCGCTACTAGGTGACCAAGAATACCCTAAATATATCACTGCCATTTTGATCAAAATGTCACACTAATTCATCAACAAAATACACTAAATGCCGAGAGTGGCATCCGCTAGCGACGAGGATTCGGCGCCCTGCTGCGACGACCGCGCTCCGTGGCGGCGGCGGCTTCCTGCCATGGAGGTTGCGTGGAGGCGTTGGTTGCTCGAGCTCACGCTCCTTGCCTGATTGCCTCCGTGGAGAGGAGAACGTAACAAGGTAAAAAGCGTTATTCGGATTCGTGCTATTATAATTTTCGATGTTTGGAGAAACGTTATTACTATTCTTCGTTTCCCACGAAAATGTCACAGAATACGTATGGACATGGTCTGGGCCCAGCTGCAGCGTATACAAAGACGTATACTTCATCGCAGCCTCCCTCCCCTGTCACTAACACGCGGGCCCCATATGTCATCATCGCAGCCTCTCCCCACATGTCACTGACCCGATCGGGTGGAGACGGCGGCCACGCGGCCTCCGTGCCTGCGCCCGATGCGGCACTGGAGCTTGCGCCTAGCAGCAGCTCGCGCGGATGGGTGCGCCCAGGGTCATCGGAAGGGGAGGAGGGGACTGCCGGCGCCTGGCAGTTGGCCGATGGCGGCGGCGTGGGGGAGCCGGCGGCGCGGGCGTGTAGGGCCACGGAGGCACGGCAGCGCCGGATCCCGCGCCGGCGGCCTCGGAGCCGCAGCTGCAGGCGTTGGAGGTCGCAGTGGCATCTCCCGGTGTCGGCTGCGGCGCAGGGTGGTGGGGAAGCCGCCGGGGTGCGCCGGATCCCGTAGGGGCTTCGGCGGAGGGGGAGGGGGAGGGAGGGTCGAGATCCGTGCCTCGCTAGAGCTGGACGCCGGATCCGTGCCTCGCCGGAGTTGAACGCGGGAGGGGCTGCGGGGGCCGCCGAAGGTGGGGACATGGGCGGGGCCATGTCCTCCGCCAAATCTGCGTCCTGCAGCAGAGCTTGGGGCGGGGCCTGCGGCTCGCCGACGCGGGGGAAAAAGAAGACGGAGTGCGCTCGCATCCGCAGCGGATTGACCCGCCCGCCACCGTGGCCGCGTTCGCCAGCTCGGTGGGAGACCGCGGGGAAGACGAAAAGGGGCCAGAGGAGCGCCTGCCGTCAGGACGGACTCGCCCGCTCGATGGCCGGCCGCGGGGAAGAAGACGACGGAGTGCGCCCTCACCTGCCGCGGGGAAGACGTACTGCACCGGGCAGGGGCAGCACCAGCGCCCTCGACCGCCGGAGCCGAGGCCGGATCCACTCCCACGCACGGCGGAGCCGGAGCTGGTGCCGCTCGCCGTGGCAGGGGCAACGCGTGCGGTCTCCGTTTCTCGCCATGTCGCGCGTCGGAGAGAAGGAAGAAAAAGATGACATGTGGGGCCCACGTGTCAGTGACAGGAGAGAGAGGGGCTGCGATAAGTATACGTCTTCGTATACGCTGTAGCTGGACCCAGACCGTGTCCATACGTATTCTGTGGTATATTTATGGGAAACGAAGAATTGTAATGGCATGCTTCAAAATAGACGAATAGTAATGGTATTTCTCCAAACATCGAAAATTATAATGCCATGAATCCAAATAACCCAAAACAAAAACAGGCCCACTCGCCCCAACTAAAACAAGGTCTAGTCGGCCCAGTTCATTTTATTACGTATTGTCAAAGATAGTAAAAAAATACTTCAATTTTTTTTCCCAAAACAACTATTTACCCCGAGCTGAGTTCTAGTACAGTTCCGAGCCAATTTTAAATTTAACTATATGATTCATATAAAAAATTGTTAATATTTATAATACCGAATATGTATCATTCGATTTATCGAAGAATATATTTTCATGCTACACCTATTTAATGTCATATTGATATAGTTTTTTATAAATTTAAATTAACTTTAGATAGTTTAACTAACGATAGAACTAAATTTGTGTTCAAACACTCTTATTTTTAGAAATACGAATTCAACTCGGCCAGTTTTTCCTAATCTAGAATATATGATGCAGTTTCACTTAGACAACCAAACACACCCATAAGTCACGTGACTATTGAGAACCAAATGAGAAGTCAGTCATGGAAAGTTTCACCAAATAGAATAGTAAATTGATAATACCTTTTGGTATTGTCAGAGGAAATGGTAATAGATATGGATCAGTTAGAGACGTTTCTTGTCACCATGTATAAATTAAACTAGCAGGTAACCCCTCGCTTCGCGTGGGCAGGAGGCTAACAATTTACACAATGTATAACAGATTTGGATGCAGTGGCAAATGCGGTATATATATCAGTCAATTATGATTCAAACATTGTCCCTCCATTTCAACAGGTTGCGTGGGCTAGAAATGCACGAGGAATAAGTAGTCCTTTTCTTGCCTAATAGCATATAAGCCGGTACAAATATGTGTGTATGTCCTCTTGCATACCGAGCCGCAAATGAAGTCTGCGTGCAAGATACTTGACCAAACATACTACTGTCATATAAATAGCATAACTAAAATATATGTCGGTGTTTTGTAAACCAGACTAGTAAATTTATACGATTGTCGCGCTACTCTAGGAAGACGATGTTAGCATTCAAAATACACGATGATTTATACTGGTTCAGGTCGAAGACCTACGTCCAGTCTCAGAGAAGATCGAGTGTGTATTCCTCGCTTGAATGCTCTGAAATTCTTACAATGGAGGTGCAATAATGGTGGAAGAGATAGAAGAACCTAAGCAAGGCGATGGACTGCCTGGAGAGAAGCTCCAGGAGCCCTGCTACGACAGAGAATGAATGAAATGGTAGCGGATGTGAATCATCTCGAGATGGGTGCCCTAACTGTTCTTATATAGAGTTCGGGGCCAGAGCGCATACAAAGCAATAGGTTCTCCCGACCGAAGGGTCGTGAGCCTGAGGGAGGGCCTAGCTGATTTGGCTTGCAAGCTACGCCATCTTGTGGAGTACATCCGGGCGTGGCTGTCATCATGGCCTTGTGGCCACATCGCAGCATAGTATGGCGTGGTGCCACTGTGTCGGCCGTGGCGACACTGTAGGCATGATGGTAGTTCGCCAGCCGTCCTGTGCAATGTGGGTCCCGCCGTGGTCTTCGTCATCGTCTCCTGGTTTTCTGGGGCATCGTACGAGAGTTGGTGGCCGCCCCCAGGTCGCCGATCGCCTCGTTGTCTTGAGGATCGGGGGGCCACGATCCCTATCGTTGGGGTCGTGGTTTTCGCCAGCCTGGATGGCCTCTAAGTATTGGCCCTTGTCGTGGATCCCATCCGTCGCGGGCAGGATTGTACTCTCGTCTCGTCGGGCTGTATCTGGCCGGTGGTCATCGTACCTGTCGTCACCGCTTTGCGCGGTATTGTCTTGTTTGTGCGGCGTGGCACAGGGATGACTTCTGACCGGACCGAGGTGACTGTTGTCCCCTCCGTCCTTGCAGGGTCAGTGCGGCGTGCCTGTTCTTGTCAGAGTAGGCACGTTTGGCTGGGCTCGACCTCTCCCTGTTCGTCCAGGGGTCGTGACGAGGGAGAGGTCGTGCGCCTTTCTAGCGCCGTGTGGCTAAGGCATGAAGGAGTGGTCATGGCTGACCCCGGCCTTAGCGTCCGGTCTGGTTCGCTTGGCTTAGTTGGGCCTCGGCCGTTTGGGCTTTCGCTAGCTGGTGTATTACGAGCCGCGTGATCTGCTAACTAATCGATGCTTTGACCGGGGTTATGACTCCGACGATAGGAAAACTCGCTAGGCTGCTCAAAATTCGCTACCCTAGTCAAATTAAAGAAGCGTGAAGCACACATGGTGGAGGGATGTCTTGACGATGACGCCAAGAGGTTGGAGCTATGAGCACTATAAGCCTTTGATATGTTGACTGATCGAACCTGATACAAATATAGGGTGAATGCTGTCTTCATTTTTCAACGGGAAGCTGGCAGGACAGCTCCTAGTTCTGTATCATTACAAAAGAGGGAGATATATATGATGATGTGAATATTTGTTCAACTATAGAAACATTTGATGGTGCCATGACAGTGAGTATTAGTAATGTCCTCCCTCCATTCCAAACTATAAGACATCTTGACTTCGTTAGATACATAACTTTTGATATATACTTAGATATACTATATCTAGATACACATAGATATATAGTGAAAGTAATGTATCTAGAAAAGTCAAAATATCTTATAATTTAAAATAAAGAGAGAATATTTGAGGAGGTTTTCTCTTCGTTGCTGGTGGTGAGCTACGTGGTCTTGGTTGCTTACGAATGCATACGCAGTGTTACAAACCTGGTCTTGGTTGCTTAGGAATGCATACGCAGTGTTACAAACTTGCAATGCATCACGCATGCACATGCCTGGCAGTGACAGACTCACAGTCTGCCCCTTATCAGTTATGAATTAATTCGGTTGTGTTACTAATATTCCTTTAAACCGTGTGAAAATAACGCGCAGGAATATGTTAATGTGTCGAGCGTGGTCTACGTAGCTATGCGCCACCTTGTAAAGTTGTGTAACTGAAAAGGGAACCAAAGACTGAATCATGGGGCGAAAGAGGCACAATATCAACGGTATTCTGCAGATCAAGCATATCATACTACCGGTGTAGTACCATGGAATTTACAGCAATATTCAGCAAAAGACAGAACAATGTTATTCTATGCATGCGCTGGGCACTCCTCACAGGTGGGGTAAGCCAAAACAAATTGAAGCGTGGATTGCACGTTTACATGCATCAAGAGAACAGGGCATATCAGCACAATCTTCTGGTCTAGCATAAAATGCACAGCTCGATTCACAATGATTACAAGAGCCTGTTGGAGGGGTAAGGTCACTTCCTCTTCATCTGTCACTAGATTACCAATATCTACTCGCCCCGCAATGAAAAGACATAGGCAATGATGGTTGATCTAGAAATCAGTGTCGAAGCACGATGTCATCACCTTTGATACAATTGACCTTGCGAAAGGTATGTAGCTAAGACTGTACCTGCAGGAACCAACAAATTGAAATTTCAGATTTGTCAATCAGTCCCCAGGCATTGTGAACCGACACTTCGACATGTTAGTACCCTCTGTGACATGAAGGGATGGAATTATGGAAATGGTTGCAAATGATCGAAATAGGAGTAAATCATTTTCAGTTTCATATTTTCCTCGAAAAAATGTATTGTCAGAAAATAATATGACATTGGTGTTGCAGGAAAATCGAAAATGGAATTATATGATTGAAAACAAATCAATATTGGTGGAGAATTGATAATTCTTAGCCAAAACACAAAACCGCACAACACCATACATAAGAACAACTAAGGAATGAATGGATGATTGATATTCACAAGTCATCAGATATACATATTACAGCAACGCAAGGGAGTACTTGAGGAAGTGAAGGAGCTTTCAGTCGAGGACTTGTTGGGTTTGGCTGGGCTAGGCCTTTTACCCTCTTAGGCTTGTGGGTAAGGGTGGGGGAAAAAAGGGAATTTACCATTAGTAATTATTGGAGGAATATGGAAAACTCGGAAACAATTGAAAAGACCTAAAGTTGTTTTCTTTTCCATATTTTTGTTTTCATATTTTCGGTTACCATTTCCATATTACCCTAAGATGCAGAACCTTACAAAAAATCAACCCTGGTAAATGGGATTTTCCATTTTTTTCACTTTTATTCCTACTCCCTAGAGACATGTCAAACAATTCTTTCAAATTTCATTTGCTCAGTATATCATGGATATAAATACACAGTGATATCTCATGGGATGGTATCTGGCTACGAATGTTGGTCAATTATTCTTAAGGTGGCAAGACAAATAGAATTACCCCGCAAAAAAAAAAGACAAATAGAATCAACGAGAAGAAATATAGCTGCCAGGGAATATGCTTAAATTCACTTACTCAAGGATAATTAAACTTACCAAACAAGGGCACCAAATTCCAAAATGATGGCCAGTAGAGTCAACAGCTTGCTGTGAACCTATTTGGTGAAGAAAAACATTGATTGTACAATTTGTATTGACATATAATTTATAAAATACACCTTTTACGCTAGAGCTTAGATTATTTACTTACATAGAGAGCACAGAATAGAGCAATTATGATGCTTGCAATGTATATCGCAGTGGCATATATTCGCACAGAATCAAGCATCATATCAAACTGTCTTTTGGGGCCTATGAGAAATGCTGTACTGCCAAACAAATGATCCCGGTATTAGTTGACAGGACAAAAGCATTTGAGAGATAAATAAATAATAGAGAAAGTTAGCCTGCCCCCATCACACAGGATATACAAGTGCTTATGTCAAGGGCGTCGGTGCTCAAGGTAGCAGGCCCTCGACTAGGAAGCTCGTAGCTTGGGTTGGTAATGGCGTGGGGTTTATCCCCTGGACGCCCTATGTTGAAGGGGATGAGATTAAGAGCAGCAAAGGTAGATTAGGAGATAACTTGTTTCTTGATTCATCCTCATAAGCTGATTACACAGTCTATATATAGAGCAGCCCAGCCACAGGCGCCCAGCTCTGGTCTCCTCATTTCTCTCCCCATTAATCATTCTCTCATTACTCTAATCCCTTGCCCATAATACTTAATTGCTACTGATTTCAGCTGGGTCTCCTTGGATGCCGCTCTGGCCCTTCTAGCCACATCCCTAGCCCTGGGGCGCCGTTCATATTGGCGCCCCCACATCACAGCTTATAAGACAATATACACTGCTGTACTGTGCTGAAGTTACACAAGCATCTAGCATGGCAACTTTTTGTTACAAGATAGTTCAAGAAGTTTCCAGTCCATCAGAAAAACAGATTGGGACCTTCTTGATACAGATACTAAGGGTGAGGGGATGTACTAATTTAGCATCCATCCAGGTGTAATAGTGAACAGTTCAGCATTAGTTATTAAACTAACATGCTGATATTTCCAGTGCCCAATACAACAAATGATTTAGTAGAGCCGTAGAGGAAGACCTAATGATACGTGAGCAGGTTCTTTGATATAAAATTGGGTCACTGATAATCCCACACTTATTAAGAGTAGTTTAGTTTCAAATTTTAGAAATTAAACTAAACTAAGGATTCTTAGTTGTATCATGAAAGTAGTGACTGATCAGTGCGAAATCTAGATTACCTAAACTTCGGCGATATCATCCCCTTCTAGTCGGTGTAAACTATAGAGGCTTGCCACAGTCTGTGGAAGTCCCTGGTGGCATGAATCATCCTTCAGACCAACAGGGCACTCTCCAGATTGGTTTGGAGGTGGTTGTGAAACAGTTATCACCACGATCCTTAATGACAGTGATTATAAAGATGGGCTGCCCCCTTCATAATGCGTTGCAAACTTACCTGAAACCTAACCATTATGTGTTTAACCTCCCAATCAAAGTCACAATTGTCACTAAGAATTAATTTTGATTGGGGGAGCTAAATGCAAAAATGGTCAGGCCCCAGGTCAGTTAGCTCTATTTGGGTGGGTGGGGTGGGGTTGGGGGGCGCTCTATGGATAAATTCACACAATTACCAATCATGGTCAGCTGCTACCCAAAAGAAAAATAAATAAGTGCTGCATTCATGAGGTTAGTGAAGAACATACTACTCATTCATTTTATGATTTTAGTCCTAACAGTTCGTGCATCTATTCAATTTTACTGCAAAACCAAAATCTAAAGCAGAAAAAAATAGATTCTAACAAAGGGTGAAGATATATAAATTAAACAGATCTTTGGCAGCTAGTAAAACAGACCTTCCAAGGGCCATCAAATTGCCAAGGGTGAATGTTACCCCAAATTTCACTGGATTGAAGAAGACAAGCATTGACTGCAATAATAAACATGAAAATATCAAATAATCCATAAGTGTTTGAAATTGGAAAAATAAAAGGGAATTGCAAAAGACTGTAGGTATAAATAATGGGCACAAGTGCAACCACAGGAAGAACAGAAATTGCATTTTGTTTTTCCTGTGTTATTCATACTATGCTGGATTATTACACCCGGGTTCGAGTCGCGGTCTCCTCGCATTGCACAGGCGAGGGTAAGGTTTGCCACTAACACCCTTTCCCAGACCCCGCACAGAGCGGGAGCTCTCTGCACTGGGTACGCCCTTTAATATATCCTGTGATAAAGAATGAGGGCTGCTAGTGGCAGAATGCTGCCTCAAAATTAAACTATTAAACTACTTCAACAATCAACTTAAAACATTGTCATATGAGAAGATTTTAAAAGTTGTTTTTCTAAATAAAAGGAACTTAGGGACAGCAATACTGCTTCAATTATGGATTTAGCATATGCACAGATTATATAAATGATCTACTCTTCCAAAAAAAACATCTAAGGGGACGACAATGTTACAGCTTGAATTAGTTGCCTAACCTATTAACAATCCTCAGAATGCTTCTTGTGTTGTCAGTTAGGACTAATCACAGATAATGTTGTTATCCCGACAAAGACTAGCAGCGGGGCAGGTGAACTCACCAAGAAGGTGCACGTCAGTCCGGCAGCTAAGCATATCGCGAAACCATAGAGCCTCTGCACACAAGAGGTCAGAAAGACATGGTTAGACAGCGGGACCGCATTGCTCGAGCCGAGCGATTCTACCGCGACTTGCTCCGAAGTTCCGGTGCCGATACCGGAGCAGGAAAAGAGCCGCAAAGCGAGATCCGCCGCCAGATCTGCGCGGAGACAAAGGGTGGGCTGAGGGATCCGTGCTTGCCTGGGTGGTGTTGAGGGTGCAGTGGCGATTGATGTCGTCGAAGAAGGACTGCTCCTCGGGCGGCGGCAGCGCCGACTCCTCGTCGACCTCCATGCCCACCAGCATCTTGGCCCGCTCCAGCGCGCCCCGCATCGTGTCCATGGCGTTCTGCTCCGTTCGTGTCCCCTTTACCCCTGCTGCAGCGAAGGGAAGAGACCGCGCTGCGCGCCTGCGCCGGCGATGAATAGTCGAGGGATCCCGGCGATAGGAGAGGAAAGATCAAAAAATCCCTTCCAGCAGCAGCAGGAGCAGCACGACTGCACGAACACCTCGCTCGAACATTAGTGCCGGGCCCTATTTTCTTTTTGTTAGGCTTTATGGGCTTTTCTCTCCTGGCGCTATGGCTTAACCGCTAATGTCAGTTTCAATGGCCCTCCAAATTACGACACATTTTATCTTTTCGAGACTAGATACACTGCTTTCACCATTTTATACTCCCTCCGTCCACGAAAAAATACAATTATGGAATCCTTACCGGTTAAACTAGTTCAAGTTTGACCAAGTTTTATAGTAAATAATACTAATGTTTATGTCTCTAAGTAAATTTATTATGAAAATATATTATATAACTAATCTAATGATACTTATTTTGTATCATTAATATTTATACTTTTTATATAAATTCATTCTAAGTTCAAACTGTTTGACTCCTCGAAATATGAAAATTGCATTCATTTTTGGACGGATGGAGTATATATCTAAATACATATCAAAACTTATGTATGTAGAAATGTCAAAAGGTCTCATAATTTAGAACATAGAGTAGTTTCAAATTAATTTCACTCTCATTTATTGCTATAGAATATCGTCAAATTAGTTCATTTGATAAATTAATTATAAAGAGAGAGTTTCATTTATATGAATCCCGCTGTCACAGTTACCAACAAAAGACTGACGTGACAATCTTAGTAATTGTACCATGAAACTCTCCATTAAGACTGACCTAATAAAAAAATCTATGGTACCTCTGTCAAGATTTTCCTTCTCTAACTTTCGAATCAGATCTTCTCAATTATCAAAACCGTTTAAATTCTTATTTTCCAATTTGAAGTGAGTTTTAAAGTGGTTTCATCCTTTGTAGTTGAAAAACTATGATAAATATCATGCTAACTAATTAAACTAAACTAAATCTAAGGATGATCCTCGCTGTCAGAGCTAGGATCATCCTTCCTTCGCCACTTGGATGGAGGCTCGTCCTCCTCCTCCTCGTCTTCCTCCTCATCTTGTCATTGTCCTCCTCCTCCTCATCGTAGTCGCCATCGTCGTCCTCTCGGCATCATAGCCACTGTTGAAAAATCGCTCCTCCCCAGAGTCACAGGGAGGACTCCGATTAGGCGAGCTGTCGGCGTTGGAGCCTCGTTGCTAGAGGGCCACCATTGCTGGACTTTGTCCTCATCGGTGGAGGAGTTGCTGATAGGTAGCTTGAAGTACCGTCCAATATGGTTGAAGTTGGAAGAAGGGGGTGAAGAAAGAACATGGGTGGTTTCTGAGTGCATATGGTGTGAAGAATATGTAGAGCATTGGGTAGGCCTCTTCGGCTTCTCCGGATAGAATTAATGCTGATGAAAGGATGTTGGTAGTTGGGACACCAAATAGTTACGAAGATTGTTGACCGTTGATCCACCATAGGTCGTTAAGGGCCGGTGATAATAACAACTATCATAGCCTGAAGATCACTGTTGGATCCAACGGTCACCAAGCGGTGATACCATATATTCACCGCCGGCTCAATTGGTCTCTGCGCCCCTTCGCCCCTCAAATTAACTGGTGGTGAGATAGATTCACTGCTGGTTATGTCATAACCGACGATGACAAAATGATGCTACGCCTAAGAACTAGAGAGAGAGACAAAGAGAAGGAGAACAAGGGTGGAGAAAAAGAAGGAGAAGGGAAGAAGAAATCCAAGCTAAGAGCAAGATCACTGCTAACAAGAGAAGAAGATGAAGTTCATCCTCCTCTCCATCTTCATCACTTGAGTGAGCTTAAGAAATGTTTCTTTTTTTCTCAAATGCAAATCCCAACCCTAATCCTTAAATTTCATCTTGCATGTGGTTGAAGATGAAGATTGTTGATGTCAAATCCATCTCAAGAGTAAGCCCTATTCATTCTCTAAATTTCTCTCTAATGAGCATGCATGTTTAGTGCGAGGAATTTTCAACCTTTAATTTCTCAAATCTTCCTCCCTCATTTGGATGCAAGAAGACTTGGAGCACGAGCTTCAGCTAGGCGACACAAGGTCACCAAGCCACCAAAGTTAAGTTCATCAAACTCACTTTCATGTTTTATTCTCCTTTAATCATGCTTTTGCCCATTACTCAATCTTAGATCAAACACACCTCCATGCAAGGCAAAATCCTAGGCTACACAACGCCAACACATTGCCTAGACACTCCTAGATCATCACCAAACACACCTAGAAAACATCACCCACAAAACCTAAGAGCCAACCCCAAGAACACCAAGAACAACTCATCTAGGTTCTATTGACACTTTGGTGGACTGTTCGCGTGTTCTAATGGACTATTGGACAGAGCCGAACTGTTCCATAAAATGCTCGGACGGTTAGCACCTACACATTTTTTCACCTGATGCATCGGCGGACTGTCTGCCAGATCCCTCGAACTATCGATCGAGATATCACATGGAGCCGGTGTAACTTGTCATGCATCCACATACTGTTCCCTATTCCCCTGAACTGTGCACCACACCCACAAAACTGTCTGTCAGGAACACACAGATCCAAAGCCCCAAAAATCCCCTCTTCAGGAATAATTCACCGGACTGTTCGGCGGCACACAAGGAGAGTCCGCGAGCACACCACAAATATTTTTTTACTACAACCCTTGACTTACCAAACCAACCACCCTACCCCATGTCTAAACATCTTTGAGGATAACACCATGTCTAAACTCTCCATTTTGGATCATGAGATTTATCTGTCTTTATCATCCAATTTCATCAAGTTCCATGAGCAATCTCAATTCCATCAATTCTATCACTCTCTTGCAGGTATATGAGTTGTACAATGATTGTACTTCCTGCTAAGGTTGTTTAATCTACTAACATGACCTCACTAAAGTTAGCTCAAGTCATATAAAGTAAAGGATAGCCTAGTCAATTATATATATTACTCAATTGGGCTCGGGACGATTAATCATGCTTAAGTGCCTAGAACCGGTAGAAGTTGACTGCGAGTAGGAACTCACATTCATGCGCGTAGTATGGTTCACCGAGATCTAATCAACCCTAAAACTTGTAAAGGGATATAGTTTGACTTAGTTTATAACTTGCCTAAGGTCAACTCTTATTTTGACTTAAACATGAACTTGATGTGAGACTTTGACTCAACAAGGGGTAAGGTCACTGTGAGTATTGGATCTTGAGTGGCGTAGCTTGTGGAGTAGCTAAGGACCATCCTCTATGATAGTAAGTTGGAATAACCCCCATACTGACCACATGTAGTGTATGGGAATTATAAGCTAAGTACTTAGTGGTGACTCGCTAATAGCATGGATTTGGCTCAAGGTGTAGCACAGGGTAGCTAAGAGAAAGTACCTTGGCTCATCGTCATACCATAGGCTAGATAGCCACACTAAATAAAGGTTGGAACCTCGAGGCAACCTGTATCCGAGCATGGATATGGAAGTTCGCCCTTGGTCTCTGTGAGGATACAGTTGTATACCTTTGCAGAGATCTTTTCGAAAGCATGAACGTCCTCAGATGAAAACTAGTTGTTCTCACTTCTAGTTTTAGAGTAGTGAGAGCAAGGTGTAACTTACTTGTGTTGCTTATATGATCACTTATGTCTTCGAATGATTCACCTAATAAATAGAAATTGAGCATAGCATGCCATATTCTAACCTACGCCAGACTTTTCACAAATATTTGAAATGCCTATTATTTTTTCCCTTTGCATCCACCAAACACTATATGATTGAATAAGCCCTCTGAGTACTCACGTTACTGCCGTTAAGCTGCTATAGGTGCTAAAAAATGGTGATCACTCAAGTCAAGCTTGAGTGAAGTCAATGGACTAGCAGACGATGGCATGGGCGTCCCTGAGAAGGTGTCGTTACTATAATAGCAAGTGACTTCTCGAGAGAACAAAGTAGAATTTGGGATAACTAGCCTTATGCCGGGTTAATGTAAATGTGAACGTGTATCTTGCTTATTAGTTTTGCATCATTATGAATGTAATGTCTTTTATAATTAATCATGATGTATAGTTTCTGAGTTATATAATTTTTTTATGGTTGGTTCGTGTCGTGTCTTACTACAACTTGATCCCACGGTTTAGCTGTGCTAGTAGAGATTGTGGATAGCGACTCTAGGGACCTCCTTGCGATTAGTGCCACAGTGGTTGAGTGAACGACACGTTGTACTAGCTTGATGACCGGGGTGAAGTCCTCGTACCGTGGCTGCAGCATCTCCAAGTAGATGAAGTGTGATGACTACTGCTCAACCAAGGCGCAAGGGCACTGTGGCTAATGGTTGGAAATCCGTATGCACTTGCCCCGTTGCAATAGAAACGCGGACGCCAGTGAGAGTCCGAGTTAAGCACAAAACAAAAAAACGCCAATGGCCCCGTTGCAATAGAAACACAGACGTGAGTGAGAATCCGAGTTAAAGGCAGACGCGAGCGAATGGCACACAGTCGACATAAAGGCGGAAGCACAAATAGGAAGGCATAAAATTAATATGGCAGAAATTTTGCTCTTTAATATTAAAAAATTAGAAGTAGATATAGATATAGATATAGATATAAATAGATATAGATGTATAGATATAGATTATTTTTATTAAAATCAATTTCTGCTTCTTGAGCTTCTCTGGATTAATCTCTCTACTAGTTGTGGCGAGCTCAAGTTTTGGGGCTAATTTGACGACGTTCAAATGGCAAATCGCGCTTCGTCTGAACTGGTCTCCCCTAGGCTCGCAGACTTTGAGGTCGCGGGAGTAGCAAACGGCTAGACCGCACCGGGCGAGGCGGCACGCATGACGCGCCTTTTGATGCACTCGAGCTAGGCAGCTCCATCCGCCACGCGATCTAGCCCAGCTGTCGTCAGCTGCGCGGCGCACCACAGTGGCAGCGCCGTGCGGGC